TGCTTTACAAAAATTACCACCACTAACTCCTCATCATAGCCCTAGACTTCCCCAGCAATAAATTTGGCATGATCTAGGGGAACCTTAATCTTTGATATTCTTACCAAGATATCCTTTGCCACTGTACATGTCACAATCATGTTGTCACCTCTCATCATGCACAACAATTTGGATTCATCTCCTCCTTCTATCAGACCCAACAAACCTTTCTTGACATGTCCAATTGGTTTAACTTCAATTTAGGAGATAAATCTGACAATTCAAGGTATAATTAAGCATATAGAATTGCTTCTTTAAATAATTTCAGCAAGCAACACTACCCACTTCTCATGTACAGGGATTTTTCTGGTACCTGTGAGGGAACAATTTTTAAGTTCTGCTAGGACTATAATCAAGGTAAGAATCTCAATAGCTATGTCATAAGACTTTTTTAACCTAATTAATATAAAGAAAATCGTATAGTTATTCATAATCATGTGAATTAGTAGTCTGATTGGAATGAACGATCAGTGGTACCATATATAGGAGAATGTGGTACAAGCCACAGTGTTCTTGTCAAGAATTTTGTCAATTCTATAACATCTGGGGAATCTGGAGAATTGACAAGTCAGGTTCACAATAATAAGAAATATAAAAGCTATCATTATTTACTTAAAAAAAAAAAAAAGCTATCATTGTCAAATGAAATTAATTGAAAGTAGCGGTCTACTATATATGTTAAAATTAATGTTGAGTTATTATTAACCAATATATGAAATATTTTTTTTCTTCGATTCGGACAACTAGGGTGTCCATGAGTTAGCATTTGTATATTTTGAAATTAATTTTTTTTATAAATAATTTTAGAGATAAATTTATACATTCATCTTTTGTATTTAAAAAAATTAATTTTTTTAAATATTAATCCCAAAACTTAAATTTTTATCAAAAGATATAAAATAACATTTATTTTAAATGAATTCACCCATTGGATTACAATATACGGAATATTAAACAATATTAATGTGTTACAATATTCTAGAGTGGGCTGATATATATATATATATATATATATCTCTAATGTGCTTTAGTCTAGCCCTTTTTTTCTTTTGATGGTAGGTACTTGCTGGAGTTCTTCCTCTCAATATGATGGATTTATTTACTTGTGAAAAGATGATGGTTCAACTTAAATGTAACCTAAGTACCTAACCTATGAAGTGGTATAGACATCTTATGAATTCAATTTTATATTAACCTATATTTTTAATCGGCAATTTTATATTAACCTATTTATTCACTATCATAGCAATGTAATGAAAACTCATGATCAAGAAGAAATGAGATACTAGAACTTACAAAACCAGGTTTTTCCATTTTTCTTTTCTAAAAAAATTATTAACGCATCCTCTTGTCTAAAATACATTCCAACATACTCATTAAAAAATTATTCCCTATGTTATTTTTAGTAATCTTAGTTTGCTTTTTTAAAAATTTTAGATAAAAATTAAATAACTTATAAGAACAATAATTGAAAAAAAAATTTCCTATATGTAATTTTTGAGTATTTTTATTCGATCAAAATAAATTTTCAAATATCATTTATATAATATGTTAAATTTTTGAAAAATAATTGGTATACATTCCAGTTCAACACACTCTACAACACACTCATTACGAAACTATTATTTTCAAGTTTGAATTCATGGTGGGAAAATTTCCAAAGGCAAATTATAATAGTTGAACCAAAGTATACTGTGCAGTGTATTGAACTGAAGGGTGTACCAATTATTATCCTAAATTTTTATTTATAATTCATGTCTAAAAATTAAAAAGTCAAACTAAGACTATTAAAAATGAATTGAGGGTGTATTATTTTTAAATTTGAATTGAAGACAAGAAGATTTGAAGTTATAAATTTTAATGGTTAAAGTGTTTTCGTCTTTAATTCAAATTTGAAAATAATAATTTCTTAATAAATATATTGTAGAGTGTGTTGAACAAAAAAATGTATCAACCATTGTCCATTTTATTTTTTTAATTAACCATTGTTTCTATTATTTGATGACAACTAAGTGACTACTATTGTATCATTAATTTATAAAATTTCTATAAGAGAAAAGTATTTGTCAATGGAATCTCTAAAAAATTAGGTGAAAAAATACCTTAAAATGACATGATTTTAATAAATTCTCATTAAAAAAAAAACTAAAATAACGTATATTGAAACTAGGAATAATGGGTTTATTTCAATCTTTTCTCGTCATTTCAATATATATATACACATACTATCAGTCCTAACTCCCAAGAAAATTCGATTCCTAACTTTAAACAATATTGTTCATTTAAATTAAATCTAATTCAAAATTCAAAAATCCACTCTATTAAATGTTGATACTTACAATTAAAAACCAATATGCACTATTTAATAAGGTGAATTTTTGACTTTTTATATTTAGAATGTAATTGGTTTCTAAATGTAAGTATCAATATTTAATAAGGTAGATTTCTTAATCTTGAATTGAATTTTAATTAAGTAAAATGATGCAATTTAAGATTAGCACTTCAATTTTTTTAAAAGTTGGGATTGATATGTGCTTTTTAATATGTATATATATATATATATATTTATTTATATATGAAATAATGCATATCATTTATAACTCCCATTGAAAAATTAGAGTCTCAATTTCAAAACCACCATCCTACAAAAAATATTTTCAAAAACCAATTGTTAGATTTAATATTCTATTGATATAGATCAAGCATTTGAATTTTCAAATTGATCTAACATTTATAATCATTTGATCTAAAAACTTGTATTTTTTAATATATATTTAACAGTTGTTAATTTTCTATAATTGATGAACTTGTTACATATATTTAATTAATTTTAAAATTAACATGTATAATTTACATAAATATAATACTAAATCTAATAGTTGGTTTTTGAAAAATATTCATGAAAGGGAGGTGTTGTTGAAATTGGGACTCTAATTTTTATTTTTTTAAAATTGGAATTGGTATGCACTATCCTTATATATATGTATATATTTATGAAATCAATGTCTATTAGCTAGACTTCATGTTGGTATTTTTCAATATATGGACGATGCAAAAAAAAGTGTATTTCTAGTATTGAAATAATTACTAAAATACTATTAAAAAATAAACATGGAGAGAATTTGATTAAGGGGGTTTTGATAATTTCATTATCGAAATTGTATTTTTTTTATGTAGTCTATACTAAAAAGAAAACATTTTTGTGTGTGTGTATTTATATATATATGGGATTAACTTACACGTGTGTAAGTCATACAAATTTCTCAGCCTCATTTCAAATTTTAAGGGTAAATATTATAACTCAAGTATTGTTCGTAATTGTCTAAAATTTGAAATATATTTGTCCAGGAATTTGTTTAAGACTTAATAGGAAATAGAAACATGTATAAGTAAGTTGATTGGTACTCATGTATTATATATTCATCTTCTTAATTAATTCGCACAAATATATAAGACTCTGCTTAGGTTAATTCTCAAAAGGATGCTGATTGGTGCACACCCGGTGTTGACCCGGGTGTGCACCCCCACATA